CTACTAATACCATACACCAATGGCCCATGTGTGTCTTCCCCCATTTCCTGCACAAATCTGGGGGTCTGTTATCAGACACTCATTCTGACCCTGTGCCCCCCCCCTGCTGCATATGTCAAACAGTCACTAAATCTTATATAAACTTTTGCATGTCGATGTCATTTCATTCATTGTTTTTAAACCTTCGGCTTCCGTTACAATAATCGCCGGTGATCCCGCCATGAAGGTTCTTGTCCAGGCGTTTCCTGTTATAGGAGCACATTTAGGAGACAGGGACCGATAACTAGATAATCAGTGCCGATGCCGAGTATTTGGGTGAGTACTTGTACTCGCCCAAATGCTCCGATACCCAGCCCGATACTTCCTGTATCAGGCAGCCGGGCAGCACGTCATTACACGCCAATCACTACCAATCAGGAAGCCGGCTCCATGCTCCCTCGTCGCTTGTGACGGGAGAGCATGGAGCCTGCTTCCCGGGCCAATCGGTAAAGCCGGGCAGCGTGTAATCAGGGCTTCCTGATTTGGTTGGGATGCCGGCCAATCGGGAAGCCGGGCGCCGAGTAATGACAACACGCCCAGCTTTCTGATTGGCCAAGAAGCCGGCTTCTTGCTCCCTCGTCACCTCACGGCGAGGGAGCATGGAGCCGGCTTCCCGGCCAATCAGGAAGCCGGGGTGCCGCGTCATTACACGGCGCACGTCTTCCTGATTGACCGGAAAGCCGGCCCCATGCTTTCTCGTCCCCTAGTGACCAGAAGCATGGGGACCGCTTCCCTGCTAATCAGGAAGCCAGATTGGCGAGTCATTACACGGCGCCCGGGTTCCTGATTGGCCAGCATCCAAACCAATCAGGAAGCCCGGGCAGCGAGTCATTGGGACTTCCGGAATTCGGTATCAGCGAGTACCGGAAAAAAAAAATCTCCGTACTCCATACCGGTATCGGTGCATCCCTAGTGGTCACCCTATAACAGGAAGTGCCTGAGCAAAGACCTTCACGGCGGGATCGCCGAGGCGAAAGGAAGCGTTTTGAAGAAATGCCGGTTGTTTATGATACGCGGTGTCATCTTCCTCCTCCGCCGGTGATCTCGCCGCTTCCTGCCGGCCTCTCGTCAGATGGCGTTCATTCACTTTGATCCTGATGCGGATTTCCGTCTTTCAGATCTACAGCATGACGCTGCGATTATCGGCGCTCTGCGAAGCGTACATCAAAGACATCATCTCCGACCACAAGCTGGCCATGCAGTTACAGCAGCGCAAGAGGCTGCGCTACAGGAAGCGGATCCACAGCAGCAGCAGCAGCGGCGGCGGCGCCAGCAGCTCCGGGTCCAGCAGCCGAGACGTCAGGTGAGAGGCC